GGTGGTCTGATTTTTTTTTTTTTTTGGTTTTGTGCATTTTATTATTATGGGGGCTCTAGTGGCTTAGTGGTAAGGAGTTTCCTGCAAACCCAGAGGCTCGCAGTTCAAATCTACCTGCTGCTCAGCAGGAGTTAGATGGACATTCTCCTCCCATGTGATTTCCTGCCTTTGAAAACCTACTGGAGGGTCAGCTGTGAGTTGGTTCTGACTAGACAGAACACAGCAAAAATATCAACACTGTTAATACTGTGTGCCACATGCATTGCTGAGCACAGAATTTGCTGATGGCGTCCTACCTGTAAGTTAAAATACATAATGTTTCTAAGCCTATAAGACAAATAAAGATTGGATTTATTATAAAGATACTTTTAATAAAAGGCAATAATAAGGAAAAACATAAAAAAGATTTGAAATGCTCAGTTTACATCAGAACTAACTTTTTTTTATGTCTTTTTTTTTCTATAATTATATTTTATTAATTTTCATAAACATTTACAGAGATTTTGGGCTTCCACTCATTCATTGTTGCACTATTCTCTCTACCTTCCTCCCAGTTTGTTCTTGTCCAAATGCCACAGTGCTTGTCAAAGCCAGTTCTGATTAATCTTCTTTGTCAGTGTATCCTTTGCCATTCCCTATCACTCCTCCCTGAGAGAGACTTCACCCTGAGTCATAAGGAAAAGGGGACTGCGTATTCTCTTAGCTACTTCCTGCTGAAAAGGGACGCTGTGGGTTTCAGGGTGAAGATCTTCTCTCACTACTCTAAAGGGCCCCTTTGGCAGTAGGAAACACATAGACTATTATGGAGATTGATTTTGGAATTCAGATGCACTCTTATTGATTGTGCTTGGCTGTACATGTACATATCCTTCAAGATGTATCATGGGGGTGTTGCACCCTAGAAGACACAAATTTGACTAACAAGTTATAAGTACATGAGTCCAAAAATTATGGAAAAGTAAAAGAAAAGATTCTTTCATTGTTTTACAAACACTCCCCCTGGTCCCCTCCACCATGCAGCCCTCGCTCTAGTCTCCTGGAACCTGATTCACTGTTGGTGGGAGTGTAAAATGGTGCAACCCCTGTGGAAAGCAGTATGGCGCTTTCTCAAAAAGTTGCAAATAGAGATACCATTTGACCCAGCAATTCCACTACTGGGAATATACCCTGAAGAACTAACTTCTAATAGAGTTGGTTTGGAATTCCATTATAAATTGAGGACTTTGTATAGCTGCTAATAGCAACCATAATATTCTTAAGGGCATGTACCCTGCCTAAGTCAAGGGGGTGCGCAGTGTGTGTGTGTGTGTGTGTGTGTGTGTGTGTGTGTGTGTGTAAGAGCCGGGTCTCATTACATATATGAAATACAATGACACTTTGATATAGTTACAAATAGTTTCTATCTCCATTTAAATGGTGGAAAAGATGGAACAATTAATTATCCATTGTTTATTTGTAAATGACTTAGGTGAAGGCCTTATGCTCAGTCGTGTCTTTCTTGCCCAGGTTTCGGCCATGCCTTTCCAGGGATCTTTTGAACTAACTTGTTTTGTATCTGGAGTCTGTATATAACACCATTTCCTCTTTGTTTTCTTCATAACATCTTTTCCTGAGTCGTTCTGCTTGGCGACTCAGTGGTCACACACCAGCTGCTTCAAGGAAAAACGATGTGGTGTTCTGCTTCTGTAAAGACCGTAGCCATGGAAACCATATGGGGCAGTTCCAGTCTGTCCCGTAGGGTCACTCAGAGTAGATATTAATTCAGTGGTTTGTTGTTTATCGTAAAAAGAGAGAACAGCATTGACTCATCCTTCTCCTGACATCCCAAGGACCTGAGCATAGTACGCATTGAATAAATATTCCTCGATCATGATCAGGAGTCTGGCAAAGGCCTCATCTGACTCCCAAGTTAAATTCCCTGTCTCTCACATACCTGCTCCTCAGCCAAGAGAAGACCACACCTCGAATTGGGAAGGAAGAGTTCTGACTGTTCCAATTTGCACTTGGCTGGCTTTCGTCCTGGTGGATTGCAACGTAATGTGTGTCTGAGTGCCAAGAATTTAAGGGTCTTCACTACCATGCATAATTTCATTAGTTGCTGATGGCTCATTAGGAGAGATTATAGTTAAGAGGCTTTCCTTTCTAATCAACCCCCAGAAAGGACTAATGACAGCTTTTAATATCTTGTGTTTTCCTCCCAGAAGTGGTAATTTTCTGATTCTCATGATTGTCTTTTTCTTCATTCCTGGTAATTTACTCCCCTCATTTCCTAGTAAGAAGGATGTTTGAAGGAAGAACCTGGGAGCTGATAATTTTGGCAAACTCTACCTGTATTAGTGACAACGTGGGGCACACATTGAAATTGTCTTTATTTATTTGTCTTACCTTGTGATGAGATGTGGGGAGTAAGGAGTCTGGGTCACGTCTGTTCTCTTCCTAAATTCCATTATAGTGCAACCCAACTTGTGCTTCTGCCATTCTGTTGCTATTTATTTATAGCTTGCCTTGGAAACTGCTGGCTTACTTGATAATGTTTGGAAATTCTGTGTAGGATGAGTATTCCTGTGTAAAGTGGCTTCAGTAGGTGAAGGGTTTTACATACAATTCACAGGGAAGTGTTTCACCTGTGATAACACATTGTAAAGGAGCCCTGATAACGCTGTGCTTAAACATTCAGTGGCTACCTCAAAGGTTGACTGTGGGCATCTACCCATGGCTGTGCTGGAGAAAGACCTGGCTATCAACTTCCATAGGAAAAAGAAAACAGAAAACTCTGTGTGTGTGTGTGTGTGTGTGTTTTCTTTCTGTCACATGGGGTTACTTTGTTTAGAATCAACTTTATGGCACCCTCCATCACCACCACCGCGTAGTGGATATTGCATGAATTCTTCTTGCAATCAGCACATCATTAGTCCACACTGACCATGTGTCACTGTATGCCAGGCACTGGGTTAAGCATGTTACCTCATTTCATCTTCACAACCACCTGCAGTCATTTTTGGTTTTGTTGTTATGTGCCGTCGAGTTGACTCTGACTCATAGCAGCCCTGTGAACAGTGTGTCTGAACCCTGCCCTATCCAGTGCCATTTGCACCATCCCCAACACACTTGAGGCCAATATCAGTGCTTCTTATTGAAGGTCTTTCTCCCTTACGCTGACCACCTTCCAAGCACGATGTCCTTCCCCAAGGACTGGCCTCTCCTAATAATATGCCAAAAGCATGTGCGATGACTCTTCACCTTCCTTACCTCCACGGAGCTCCCTCGTTTCATGCTCTCTAAGGCAAAGAAAGCTCTCTTGTTCTCTTGGCGGTCCATAGGATACTCAGTACTCTTCCTCAACACCATAAACTCTGAAGCATTGGTTTTTCTTCTGTCATCCTTAGTCTCACTTTCAGATGTATAGCAAGCAATTGAGAAGACTGTGACTTAGATCAGGCACACCTTACTTTAAATGGAAGACATTGTTCTTTAGCAAATCTGACAGCAGACTTTCCCAGTGTGACTTGTCTTTTGATTTCTTGACTGCTGGTACTAAGAGTGTTGGTTGTAGATCCAAGCAAGATGCAGTAGTTGACGATTTCCGTCTTTTCTCCATTTATCTTTATGTTGCCTATTGGTGAGGATTTTTGTTTTCTTGATGTGAGATGTAATCCATATTGAAGGCTGTAGTCCTTAATCTTTTGCAGCAAGTGCTTCAAGTCCTCCTCACTTTTCAGCAAGCAAAGTTGTGTCATTGCAGGTTGTTGATGAATCTTACTCAGATCATTTGCATAACACAGGTTGTTGATGAATCTTACTCAGATCCTGATGCTGCATTCTTCTTCATAGAATCCAGCTTCTTGAATGATTTGCTCAGCATACAGATTGAATAGGTATGAAGAAAGGATACATTTCAGATGCACAACTTTCTTGATTTTGAACCATGCAGAATTCTCTTGCTGTGTTCACACAACAGCCTCTTGGTCTAGTTATGGGTTTCACATGAACACATTTAAATGTTCTGAAATGCCCATTATTTTCAGAGTTACCCATAATGTTTTGTGATCTACACAGTCAAAAACCTTTGCAAAGTCAATGAAGCACAGACCGCTTTCTCATACTCTATGCTTCCATCCAAGATCCATCTGACATCAGCAATGATATCCCTGGTGCCATGGCCTCTTCTCAAATAAAGGCAATATTTTCTAAACAATTTCATTGAGATACCAATGACATAGTATTCTTTTCATCTACTGAAAGTGTACTTTTAAGTGTATGTTGTTTGGGTTTTTTTTAAAATAGTCACAGGGTTGTCGAATGATCACTGACATCCAATTTGAGACCATTTTGTCACCTCTGAACATAACTCTTTACTCTTCTATTCCCTTCAGTTCCTGGCCACCACTCCTCTATGGTCTGTTGCTCTTGATTTGGTTTTTCTAGACATTTCCTGTTAATACTGTCACTCACTATGTGGTCCCTTGTGTCTAGATTCTTTTACTTAGCATACAATTTTTTAGACTCATTCCTATTGTTTTCTGTATTAGTAATGTATTCCTTTTATTGTTAAATGATGTTTTCACCTGTACTCTATGGCTGGAGAAACCAAGACATGCAGAGGTAGAATACAAGCTGGATTTCCAGTTCAGATTTATCTAATGACAACACCTCTATTAGCTTAGAACCTGAGGTAGTTGTGTGGGAAATTTATGAAACATTTTCTGTGAATCAGACACTGGGAGCTTCTGCTAGATGTAGTTTAAATTTTCTAGCTCATGTTTATACATAACCATATTCCAGTTGGGAAATCCTGGTGACAGTAACTAAGCAGCGACATTAAAAAAATCCCTTTATCTCCTCCTGGTTTCATTGGTTGGATTTGGCTCCTCAGGGAACCACCTGTGTCCCTTTGGTATCTGTTATCTTCCTGAGCAAATGGTGCTAAAGATAACATTGCTGTTCTTTTTTTAGGAGCTGAACACCATTCCTACCTGCAGAGAACTGGCCTCACCTTGGAGGAGCCCTCGCTGTTCCCTAGACTCCCAGCAGCATGGGTTTTCATTTCTTGAGATCACTCAGGTAAGTGGAGCACCTGGAGAAAAGAAATCAGGACAAGGGGAAATTTGATAGCTGAGTTTTACAGTTTCTTCTACTCATTGGCCTTCCCGGTCTATAGCTCATTGGTTGTTTTGGTATAAGATGTACGTGTGTAGTAGTTTGCTTTTCACAAGATTCTCTGAGGCCTGGGGTAGGTTGAATCCTGTGCCATGATGTGCTTGGCTTGAGATCCAAAGACCTCTCTCCAAGCTGTGCTCCACTTCTTGCTGGGAAACATTTCTCCGGTCCTCAAATATTCTGAAATAGAAGTATGATCCCGTCAGTGGATATTTACCATAGTTGTGCAATAAAATTACCCACATAACTTAAAAAATTGTCCTGTGCCTATATCCCACAAATTTTGACTTAATTGATCTGTTGTTGTTGTTGTTATGTGCCGTCAAGTCGTTTGCGATTCATAGCGACCCTATGCACAACAGCCCTAAACCC